AAAAAAAAAAAAAGAGTTTACAGTTGCTGTGAGCTATGACAATACGGCATTCTACCGAGGGTGACAAAGTGAGACTCTGTCTCAGGAAATAAAAAAAAATAACAAAATAAATATAGAAAAACTAGCTGGGGCTCAGCACCTGTAGCTCAGTGGTTAGGGCACCAGCCACATATACCAAGGCTGGCAGGTTCTAACCCAGCCCAGGCCTATTAAACAACAATGACAACTGCAACAACAACAACAATAGCCAGACATTGTGGTGGGAGCCTGTAGTCCCAGGTACTTGGGAGGCTGAGGCAAGAGAATCACTAAGCCCAAGAGTTTGAGGTTGCTGTGAGCTGTGATGCCACAATGCTCTACTGAGGGCAACATAGTGAGACTTTATCTCAAAAAAAAAAAAAAAAGGAAAGAAAAGAAAAAAGAAAAACTAGCTATTTTTCTAGCTAGCTAGGAAAACTAGAAAAACTAGCTGAGTGTGGTGGCACATGCCTATAGTCTCAGCTACTGGGGAAGTCAAGGCATCACCTGAGCCCAAGTGTTCATAGCTTGCAATGAGCTATGACACCATGGCACTCTACTCAGGGCAACAGAGTGAGACTCTGTCTCAACAACACCAAAAAACTTTCTCTGACTTCCTGGGCAGAGTTAGTCATTCTTTCTTTATGCCCTGTGGCACTTGGTTCATTTTCTTATCATGAGGTTTACTGCAATCTATGTTTATATGTTGTTCATTTTCTCTTATCTGTCCCTGAGCCATCTTCATGTCCGAGCACAGTTGTTGGTATTCAATAATATCTGTTAAATGAGGCACTCTGTTGCTTCTTTTCCTCCAGTTCCCATTTGCTCACTCCCTGCTGCTCTGCTATGCACTGGCTTGACCCATCCATGTCTACACAGGCCTGACACCTCAGGTGAGGTGGTTCATGAGAGAGGTCCCTGAGTAGCTTGCCCTGCCTCCTGTTTCTATTTCTGCCGCAAGTCTTCAGAGTCAGGATAAGGTGGTGGTGAATAGAATAGTAAGTGATCCTTGAGTCAGACTGCTCGGATTCAAGCTCCAAGATTCTCTCTCACCAATTGACTTCAAGTTTACTTAGCTCTCACTAGGGTTCCTCATCTTTAAAATAAGGATGAGGCTCAGCGCCTGTGTCTCAAGTGGCTAAGGCACCAGCCACATACACCTAAGGTGGCGGGTTTGAATCCAGCCCGGGCCTGCCAAACAATAATGATGGCTGCAACCAAAAAATAGCCAGGTGTTGTAATGGGCGCCTGTGGTCCCAGCTACTTGGGAGGCGGAGGCAGAAGACTCACTTGAGCCCAGGAGTTGGAGGTTGCTGTGAGCTGTGATGCCATGGTACTCTACCCAGGGAGACAGCTTGAGGCTCTGTCTCAAAAATAAAAATAAAATAAAATAAAATAAATAAAATAAGGATGGATGATAGGAGTACCTGTCTCTTAGGGTTGTCACGAAGATTATAGGAGGTCACATGCATAGGACCTGGACCATAGTAAATGCTCAGTGTATTTGACCTAGACTTACTATTCTTCATGTCAGTCTGACTGATGTACATTCTCACTCTTCCACTGCTTGTTTGTCTTGTCCTGGATCTGTCAGTGTGTCTGTTTGCTGGGGAGATGCAAGGAGAAGCCTATCAATTGATCTCTGCTTTTCCCCAGGGCTCCCTATGCCACTACTTGACCCAGCACACAAATGACTGGGGGAGTTCCCTGCGGATGGCACTGTCTCTGGCCCAGGGTCTGGCATTTCTCCATGAGGAGCGCTGGCAGGATGGTGGGTGAGATGGGTGCAGGAAGCCAGGAGAGTCAGTAGCCACATTGCTATGTTTCTGATTGTCCCTAGTTTGGAGGAAAAGGATTGGGTCAAAAGAGAGAGGAAACCCCTGACCCACAACCCATTACACCATCTGCTGCCATCTATCACAGCAGCTATTGCAGCCAAAGAAGAAAAATAAATTAATTAATGATTAAAATAAGAAAAAAAGAGAAGAAGCCTGGGAACAGTGGCTTATGCCTGTAATCCTAGCACTCTGGAAGCGGAGGTAGGAAGATTGTTTGAGCTCAGGAGTTCAACAGTAGCCTGAGCAAGAGCAACTATACTAAGAACAGAAGAACTAGTGAGGTATTGTGACAGGCCTATAATACCAGCTACTTGGGAGGCTGAGGCAAGAGGATTGCTCAAGCCCAAGGGTCTGAGGTTGCTGTGAGCTATGATGCCATAGCACTCTTCTCCAGGGCAACAGAGTGAGACTGTCTCAAAAAAAACAACAACAACAACAACAACAACAACAACAACAAAAAACCCACAAAAAAACAGAGAGAAAGAAGTTCCATATCTCTTCCCCACAGGTCAATATAAACCGGGTATTGCCCACCGAGATCTGAGCAGCCAGAATGTGCTCATTAGGGAAGATGGGTCATGTGCAATTGGAGACTTGGGTCTTGCCTTGGTGCTCCCTGGCCTCACTCAGCCCTCTGCCTGGGCCCCTACTCAACTGCAAGGTCCAGCTGCCATCATGGAGGTAAATATGTTGGATAAGGGTGAGGCCCAGGATGGTGGTGGTGCTGCTAATGGAGATGTAACCATTCCTGTGGCACCAGTACAGAAGTGCCTATAGCATTTGGGACATTACTAAATCTATAGCTGGGGGGATGCTGCATGGACCCGTGCTGCAATGAGGGATGCCACAGAGATTATTCTTGGGCCCTCACAACTTGCTTTTTAGGCTGGCACCCAGAGGTACATGGCACCAGAGCTCTTGGACAAGACTCTGGACCTACAGGACTGGGGCACAGCCCTCCGGCGAGCTGATATTTACTCTCTGGCTCTCCTCCTATGGGAGATCCTGAGCCGCTGTCCTGATTTGAGGCCTGGTAAGGACAGATGGAACAATGCTCACCCCTGGTATCCTACTCAATCATTCTTGACTCACTTACCACCTGACCTGGTCCCCAGAATTCTGCCTGTGATCACCCTTATGGCCTCTCTACAGTAGAAATACCCCCAGGGCTGATACTTGTCCTGTATGTGTTTCCCCAGACAGCAGACCACCACCCTTCCAACTGGCCTATGAGGCAGAACTTGGCAGTACCCCCACCACCTGTGAGCTATGGACCTTGGCAGTGGAGGAGAGGAGGCGTCCCTACATCCCATCTACCTGGTGTTGCTTTGTCACAGTAAGAGCTTGAGGCTGATGGGCTGGAGAGTGGGATCTGGGCATGGACATCAAGGACTTCCCTGCCAGGGTTAGTCCATTTAATTCTCTCTCCTGTCATCTTTGACCACTCCTTGGTTCATGTTGAACTGGAAAAGGGGGAACTTTCTCTGGCCCTCAGTGCACCATTCTCCATACTAGGTCTCACACAGCCTACTTCATTCATCGGAGATACACACTTTCCTCCTGCTTAGCCATGCCCAGTTTGTCTCTCTCCTCTTCACTACCAGTCCTCTTCTTCAGTCCTCTTCTCTAGGATGCCCTCCCTGGATTTGCTCCTGCCCTGAGCTTTGCCCTCAATATGGTGCCTCCCCTCATACAGTGGAGCCCCAAATCTAATCTGATAATTCCTAATTCTGTCTTCCACATCCCTGTCTCTGCTGTGATCCAGTACAAGACAGTTCTTGGTCTGAAAAGTTAAAGCAATAGCCTCATAGTGAAAGTTCAGGGATCTGGTCAAATAATTTCCTAACAGAATTTCCATCGTGATGCTACCTGGTTGGAAAATTCCACTGTCGAGTATCTGTCAGGTTAGAGAACAGAAGCCAGGCGTTGCTTACAGAAGACCCCGGCTGCCTGAGGGGAAAGAGAGTAATTTCCCATTACCATGTTATGCTGTCAACCCAAATTAGCTCCTTAGAGGAAGGGGTAGATTGTATGGAAGGTCCCCAGAGAGTGTGTCTCCTAGAGAACAGACTCAGAGAGCTGGATTTCACTGCGGGGAAAGGGAGAGAAGCTTCAGGAGGGATCTGAAGTAGAGTGTTGAAAACAGGAGAGTGATAGATGTTGAAGATGCCCTTTAACCCTAGGACCTCTCAAGATTCTGGGTTCAAATTTATTTACCGGTCATTCCTCCCAGGACCCTGGTGGGCTGAGAGAACTCCTAGAGGACTGCTGGGATGCAGACCCAGAAGCACGGTTGACAGCTGAGTGTGTACAGCAGCGCCTGGCTGCCCTGGCCTGCCCTCCGGAGGTCCCCTCCTTCCCAGAGAGCTCTCCACACAGCTGCCCACCTCTCTGCCCAGAAGACTGTACTTTACCTCCTTCTCCTGCCATCTCGCCCATGGGCTTTAGTTGAGTGCACGCCACTTCAGCAACCCCTAGCCTGAGCCAGAACAAGACTGTCTTTGAAAACAGCCCAGCATTGTGACGAGTGCCTGTAGTCCCAGCTACTCAGGAGGCTGAGGGAAGAGAATCACTTGAGCCCAAGAGTTTGAGATTGCTGTGAGCTATGACACCACGCGCTCTACCAAGGGCATCAAAGTGAGACTCTGTCTCAAAAAAAACAAAAACAAAACAAAACCAAAAAATAAAACGGTTCAGCAAGGCTCTTGCTGCAGGAATACTCAACCCCACCTGAACCCTTTTCATGTGTAAATATGCAGTTTATATGTCATTTATGTGCATTTGAGCATAAATATGGTGACTGTATGCCTGCCTGGTCTACCTCACCAGTGCCTTTCTCAACTGAATCCTTGGATCATTCTTTAGGCATCAAGTCCACAGCAGTTCTGACTGGTAACCAGGGATAGGTGTGCACAGGAAAGAAAATAAAGTCTGCTTTCCTGATTCATGTCCTTGGGCATTCCTCCTTTCTTGTGATTCTGGGACCCAATTTTCTGTCTTGTTTTCCTTTTCCTCTACCAACTTCATTCTTAAGTGGTGAGATCTCATGCTGGATACCAGGGAAGGAAGCGTGAACAGTGAAATCACTGTCCTAAAGGTGCTCATAGATGTGTAACTCTCATGGGTGGCTCCCATATGGTGTCCTGGGGGTAACAGCAGAGGCTTGAGAAAGAAGGTTTCACAGAACATAGGACACTTGAGTTGGGTGTTGACTGAGCAGGAGTTTCACAGGTGTACTGGGGTTAGTAGAGCATTGCTGGCCCAGTGAGGTGTGGTAACATGCAGTACAAGAAGTAACTAAAGTAATCTGAATAGCAAAGTCTAGGAAATGTGGTGGGGCGAGAAGGGGCGGGGACATGGAGAATGATAGGCAAAGCCTTGTAAGCCCTGCTGAAAGGCTCTTCCTCTGTGTGTGTGGGTATGTGTTTTCTTTTCTTTTTTTTTTTTAATTTTTTATAATTTTCTTTGTCTGTCTATTTGTTTGTTTTTTGCAATTTTTGGCCAGGGCTAGGTTTGAACCTGCCACCTCCAGCATATGGGGTCAGCGCCCTACTCCTTTGAGCCACAGGCGCCGCCCTGTGTATGTGTTTTCTATCCTGACTTCTCTTTCCTACACCAGTTCCCTTTAACACTGGGTGCCCTCGGCTCGGTGCCTGTGGCTCAAGTGGCTAAGGCGCCAGTCACATACACCTAAGGTGGTGGGTTTGAATCCAGCCTGGGCCCGCCAAACAACGATGGCTGCAACCAAAAAATGGCCAGGTGTTGTGGTGAGTGCCTGTGGTCCCAACTACTTGGGAGGCAGAGGCAGGAGACTCGCTTGAGTCCAGGAGTTGGAGGTTGCTGTGAGCTGTGATGCTATGGCACTCTGCCCAGGGGGACAGCTTGAGGCTCTGTCTCAAAAAAAAAAAAAAAAGCCAGGCATTGTGGTGGGTGCCTGTAATCCCACCTACTTGGGAGGCTGAGGCAAGAGAATCACTTAAGTACAAAGGTTGCTGTGAGCTGTGACACGACAGTACTCTATCCAGGGTAACAAAGTGAGACTCTGTCTCAAAAAAAACCCCAAACTGTCAAGGTCATCAAAAACAAAGAAAGTCTGAGCAATTATCACAAGCAAGGGAAGCCTAAGGAGATATGATGACTAAATGTAATGTGGTATCTTGGATGTGATCCCAGAACAGAAAAAAGGATACAGGGGAAAAAGTAAAAGAATCTGAATAAAGTTTGGAATTTGATTAAAATTCATGTATTAATATTGGCTCATTAGTTGTAACAAACATAGCATATTAATGTAAGATGTTTATAAGAGGAGGAACTGGCTAGGCGCCTGTGGCTCAAGGGGCTAAGGCGCCAGTCACATATACCTGAGCTGGCGGGTTGGAATCCAGTCTGGGCCCGCCAAACAACAATGACAGCTGCAACGAAAAAATAGCTGGGCGTTGTGGCGGCACCTGTAATCCCAGCTACTTGGGAGGTGGAGGCAGAAGACTCGCTTGAGCCCAGGAGTTGGAGGTTGCTATGAGCTGTGATGCCACGTTATTCTACCCAGATGACAGAGACAGAGTGATAGTCTGTCTCAAATAAAATAAATAAATATATAAATAGCCAGGCGCAGTGGCTCATGCCTGTAATCCTAGCACTCCAGGAGGCAGAGGCGTGTAGATTGCTTGAGCTCCTGAGTTCGAGACCAGCCTGAGCAAAAGCAAGATCCCCATCCCTACTAAAAATAGGAAAAAAGAAATTAAGGCAAGAGGATCACTTAAGTCTAAGAGTTTGAGGTTGCTGTGAGCTGCGATGCCACAGTACTCTACCCAGGGCAACATCTTGAGAGATTATCTCAAAAAAAAAAAATCACTTGTTCGACTTTCTTTTTTATTTTGAGACAGGGCCTCAATAATTGTTCTAAAGTCTTTTTACATATAGGGCCTTCCTTTTACTTGACAATTTTCACTTACAGTTTTTTTTTTTTTTTTTTTT